CCAGCAAGTTGTTACGTCATTTCGAAGCCAAACAAAGGTAAAAACAAAGCTAAGATGAAAAGTTTCAGTCTTATCCTTTTGGATGACAGTTCGGGTATGCCAATGTTGTACTTTAGAAATGAAAGCCTTAATTCAGGCCATAAACATCTAAATGTGGTAATTTTATCAAGCTTCACGCTTATTAGTGGTCCTATATGAAGCTGAAAATAAGCTTAACAAGGACTTTTTCGCGTTTCCTACTGAGAGATTTATTTATTCACTTCTTAAGTTATGTGACGAAGTGTTTTTGACGTAGAACTATGTCTTTGTCGACTATACTGGGGTGCAAATCAAAAAATATGTGTGGTGAAATAGTGTTAGGTTTTGAACGCTTGTAACTTTGTCATTTATAGATGAAATTAAAATCATTACAAACCTGCTGAAATAAATATTTTTCTAATTTTCCGTAATAAAACTATTGAAAAATGTACAAATGATAAAATAAAACAAAAATTAAATAGCATTGATTTTCCACCAGAAAAGCTCAAAACTATCACTCATTCATCTGGTCATATCTCAAAAACTATTTGTTCAAATCATTTGCCCTTGGAAAGACATCAAGTAGAAGAGTTTTCCAAAGTGTGGTGAAAATTTGTGCCTAAAATATTAGGAAATAAAAAAATTCCACTCATGGTGAAAATAGGCCATTTTTTGACAATTTTGATACCTTTTGTTAATCAGTCTGTTTACTGTAATTACTATAACAAAATCAAATTGTGAGTACTCCTAAAATAAAACGATGGGAAATCTCGCCAGGGGCGGGGCTTAGAAAGTATTTTTTGTGCAGAATATGTAAAGAAAGAGGGACGCCGGATGTTAACCCAAATGCATATACCGTGCATCATAGAGAAAGACGCTCTACCCGACCAGAACGTTATAACAAAATTTTATCATGATTATATCAACTTCTGTTATACATAATAACCGTTGATATAATCTTGTTTTAAGAGCTCTGTGGTGAAATGAGGAATAAAAAATCATCATGGTATTTGACATAAAATTGTTACACAATTTGTTAGAATAAAATTTAAAACAACATTTTAACAAAGTTTGTTAGCATTAGTAGCTCGAAAAATGAAACGGTTTGTTTTGACGTAGGACTACGTCTTTGATTTCTATATCGGGGTACACTTTGTGAAAACCGAAAATGGAACATGTAACAAATTAAGAAAGATTTTGAACGTTAATAACTCAGCCGCCCCTGGTACAATTTCAATAATTTTATCACCAATCGATCAGAAATATGGCTATGCATCGATAAAAATGAGTCCGAGTGTTGATTTTCAACAATAAACTATTGAAAAACTGGTAAATATCCAGCATTGTCCAAAAGCGTCGAATTAACTAACAAATCCACCAATTACCTACATGCATATGCTGCTTCCCCAGCACAGTCGTCAGAGAGTAGTAAGTAGACGAAACAAGTCGAAGTGGCATTCGCCTTCGATCCTCGGGCGCGTGCGAATAGGGAGGATGGAATTGCGTAATATTTTGCACACTCATCGCCATATTCAGAACCAAACGCCGTCTGGCTCGCCGTGGCGGTGTCTGACGTATCTCCGGTCTGATTTACGAGGTGTGCTGAAGGTGTTCCTGAAACATGAGATCCGTGATGCTGTCACCGACACTAAACACGCCAATCGTAAGCGGCCATGGATGTCATCTACGTTTTGAAGTGACAGAGACGCACTCAGTTTGGTTTCGGAGGTTAAATCATCACCAACTTTGACAAAAATACGGCTTTTTTCAGGGCCACCAAGGACAGGATATAGTAGGAATAGAATTCATCTGCATGTTTGTCGATATTCAGAACCAACGACCACACAAAATGCTCATGTAATCAAACTGGAAGCAGGGGTACAAATTATTTTGATCAACCTTGATCAACTTTGAATCGCCACGGCCGGTTATTTTCGATGGAAGAAGCAACAATCTAGCATCTAATTAGACGAAGACGACAGGAAACATTTGTGAAGCCGAGTTATTTACGAAAGAGAGTGTCGATGAAGAGAATCGGTCAATGTAGACAGGTGAGTTGTTACACACTCCTTAGCGGATGACGACTTCCATGTCCACCGTCCTGCTGTCTGTAGCAATCAACACCTTTCATGGTATCTATGATGCGTCGTTTATTTAGGCGCCGTAACATTACGTTTGGTTCATCCCACAGCACCAGTTCTGCTTACCAAAACTTGGCCCACTAAGCACACAGATATCTTCTACGCCGCTTATGGAGGCAACGACCGCAGGGGGCCGGCCCGGGGTCAACGCTGCAATAACATCATGCAAGAATGTTATGGTACGTACCCATTTATAGTTTGAGAATAGGTTAAGATCATTTCGAACCTAAGGCCTCTAATCATTCGCTTTACCAGATAAGAATAGAGTTCGAAACGTTGCGTGCTCCAGCTATCCTGAGGGAAACTTCGGAGGGAACCAGCTACTAGATGGTTCGATTGGTCTTTCGCCCCTATGCCCAATTCTGACAATCGATTTGCACGTCAGAACTGCTTCGGTCCTCCATCAGGGTTTCCCCTGACTTCAACCTGATCAGGCATAGTTCACCATCTTTCGGGTCACATCCTGCACACTCACGGTATGTTGTGGCACGGTAGGGCCCCGGAGGGCCTCACCGCATGCCTGGTACAACACCCGGGGATGGAGGGACGCTGCAGAGAGCCGCGCCCGTAATCCCGCACAACTCAAGTTATGTTTTTTGCGCCTTTGGTGTTCCGGAGGACGACCATTGGCTCGCGCGCAAGATAGACTTCTTGGTCCGTGTTTCAAGACGGGTCCCGAAGGTACCTCGATTTTATCATTGCCGATCGACAGTCCGCCGGTCCATTGCGGGAAGACCGAGGCGGTGTACGCGGAAATCCATCACGCGCCCGACTGCAAAACACCACGTGCAGTAAGCCCCACCTCGCGGCACAGGCCTTCAGAACTGAGCGTCGCTACTGTGGGGCAAGCAACCAGCACCAGGGGGCAACTGTCGGGCGACCTTGCGTCCTTGCGGACGCCAAAGCTGTTTCGTAATGGATCGCAATGTCCTCGTGTGACGCGGGAGACAAGTGCCCTGCGGCGAGCCGGCCGGAACCGGCCGAACCGCAGGTGAATGTCTCCGCTCGGATAATCGAGTTCAACGGGCTTGAGCCCTAGGCAGTTTCACGTACTTTTTGACTCTCTATTCAGAGTGCTTTTCAACTTTCCCTCACGGTACTTGTTCGCTATCGGTCTCGTGGTGATATTTAGCTTTAGAAGGAGTTTACCTCCCACTTTGTGCTGCACTATCAAGCAACACGACTCCATGGAGAAATCTTCTACCATCAGCGCCGTTCTACGGGCCTATCACCCTCTCTGGGAGTAAAAGCCACATTCTAGTTGAACTTGAACTGGTAACCGCTGGTTACGGCAGATGACGAAATCTCCAGTACACGGAACCAGGTAGATGCGCAAGTGCATCACCTCTGCGTGCTGAGCTCTTCCCGTTTCGCTCGCAGCTACTCAGGGAATCCTTGTTAGTTTCTTTTCCTCCCCTTATTAATATGCTTAAATTTAGGGGGTAGTCACACATTATTTGAGGCCTACTGGGTTGGTTGGTTGGTTGGTTGGTGTGTGATGGAATACAACATAGCCTAGCACAGCCGGCCTGATTGGGATGTATTCATCAACCACGTCCGAGAGGACGCGCCTGACTATCTTCAATGTTTTACCGCCACCGAAGGCGGGAAAACATCACTACGCATACGCGCTGCGCCTGTCCACCCGAAGTGAAACGCGCAGCGCGTATAGTTGAATAGATAAATATAGGCACTGTAAAACTAAATTGTGTTAGTTTTCCAGTCTAATGCTTTTGGAAGAATTAAAATCGGACCATATTTGACGAATTTACAACAATCGAAACTTGACCAAAAGTTTGCCTCCTAGTTATTTTGAGTATCCACTGCAGCTTCAAGGCAACCCATAGGTGTTTTCATTTTCTAATCGTAATAGAATGTCTGTAGATTTCTATACAGAGCTGGAAAAAGGGCCTATCTATTTTGATCGATTCTCTTCATCGACTTTATCTTTCGTTAATAACTCAGCTGCAGCAACATTCCCTGTTGTATTTGACGATTTGGACGATAGATAAGAACCTCCTTTAACATGCTATGTGGCAAAATTAGCACGAAAACTGTTTGCATAGCCGTGGTTATCAAACGAGAAAGTCGATGAAGAGAATCAATCAAAGCAGATAGGCCCTTGTTCCAGCTCTGTATAGATTTGTTCTCTCAATGAAACAATGTTTCGAGAAATAACCATTTCTATAATCCTTGAATTATAAATAGATTTAAATAAAAATCCCCCGCCTACTCCCTGGCATAAGCGTTTCATCCCAAGCCTGCTTCGACTCAAACACTGTTAAAAACATATCATACAATGCAAAGACAACACGATTCAACCGCCCTGCCTGTTCCCGCTCGTCAGGTGTAAATCTCCCCAGTCTTTTTGATGCTAAATAGACTGACAGTCTGCCATCCTGCTGGGTGCTGCTACATATTGGTAAACAAACAATTTCCCATTAGGGCACGGCCATCAGCTCTCGGGTTTTGGGGTCGTGCTCCAGCTGCTCTCCCGCTCACTTTTCCAGTGAGTGCCTCGAAAGCTGTCGGCAGGGAACTCTCCGTTAACAGTGGCAACTCACAGGATGCTGTGAGGCTCGGAGAGCGAGAGCGTGCCACTGCAGGACCACACGGCATGGCAGAATGCACTTGCCTAACCGAATCTCGCGTAACCGAGTCGTCTTCGTCGTCGTCGTCATCGTTGTTGTCAGTGGTGGAGAGCAGGAGAGATGGGCTGGGGATGCCCAACCTGCCCCACCCCGCGTGGAGCCCGTGCCCGAGATGGATGCTGTGACTAACTTTGACAGTGGGGAAAGCACCATTTGACCGTCAGTATCGGATGTACAGTTGGTCGTTTCGTACGCGCGTGGTAGGTGTCTCACGATTGGAGTATTATTGGCCGCTATCGGGTGTGTGTGTGTGCGCGGAAAAAGGACCCCGGAAAAGGTCGGGTGAATTTGATTGAGGTATTTTTTGTTGCTGTCTAGATAGAGTCGTCTGGGTGGTGGGGACCGATCGCACGGCGACCAGAAGTTACAGGCGAGGCCGTGGCTGGCCATTGCTGCAGTGGAAATTATCGCTTGGCCTCGCGCACGATTCGCGTGGAATTTGTTTGGTTTTTTTCTGTTGCCGATGTGAGAGAAATCTGGCGATTGTGAGTGAGGGTGGACGTGGACGTGATTCGAAACCCGCACCCCCAGGATATTGCGCTGGCGAGGGTTGTCTAAGCCCTGAATGGATGTTTTTTTTGGTTCCGGTGAGAAAGTTTTCCCCAAAAGGAGGGTGGTGACGGAGCAGGGTGCAGATCGAATTTGAGTGCGGGTAGTCGAAATATGGTGCACTCTTTGATGAGTATTGACGGTAGTGGAAAGCGAACTCTTGCTCCAACCCCAAAATAAGGATATCCGGTGGTAGTGGCTTTGATGTGTATGTGGAGATTGATGGAGTGAAGTGTCGTTCGCTGATGATGGTGTGAAATATTGAACGCAAGGCCCGGTTTTTCATTGAACGCAAGCTTCAATAGCATGTGAGTTCGTGGAAATCCTAGTGCCAGTACGCCAGAAAAAAAAAGAGATTCAAAAATCGATTATGATTAAAACAACTGCGACCGGCAGTGGTAGAAGCACACCCGTAGCAGCAGCACCAGCAGCACCAGTAGCAGCAGTGTGACGTGGTCGAATGTTTCATTCAAAGGATTCAACAGAGCGTAATCGCGGGACGAGTCGCTTGGCGCCGTGATTGTAAAAAATCGAAACGTGAAATCAAATTAAGTGTGAAAATTGATCGAAAATCGCTTCCGAAAGTGCCAATCCACTTGGGTCTGGCCTGTGCTGGCTGAAGCAAAAAAAAAAAGAGTGAAGTCATAAAAACGAAAACAACATAGCCGTAGGCGCCAACGTGTATTTTCTATCAGGTCACACACGCGCACACACACATGTACGCCATATGCGTGAGTAGGGCACCAAAGTGAGTCTCCGCTTGGGGAGTGGGATTCCGGAAAATCCGGAACGCAGGAGATAACGGTGCCTGAGTGTGAACAAGCGGGAGGAAGTAAAATCCTTCAGACAAGGATAAGTTGATGACGTGCCAACCAGTCAGCCAGCCAGCCTCCTCGGGCTATTGAACCGAATGAAGAAGAGCTAGGTGTCTCAGTGTGTTGGTGTATGTTAATGTGTAATTAAAATTCACACCGGATAGTTGATCGTGGTCTATCGCGCACACGTGTTTGATTACAAACCCCGCCCCCAGCTCGGCTCAATATTGGGGTGATTTTTTTTTTTTCGAAAGTGGAGCCGACGGCGGCGGTGGCGCAGACCGACGCTGAACAAGTTTGACTCATCCCAAACTGGTGCTGCAGAGGATCACATCAAAACGAGCCCGTTAATGGCGGATGGCAGAGATGGGTAAGCAAGCAGGCTCGTTCTCCCTTTCTCCCCTTTCTGGCTAAAATGGGTAATCCCGGCGGAATTGAGGCGGGCTTTAGTTTAATTAAAATTTTATTTCGGGCGAAACAACTTTGGCGGGATGGTGCTTTTGCTGCCTACAAGGAATGGCAAAGTTTTCGTGGCATTTGTGGGAAGAAGGCGCATGGGTACTTTCTGATGGCACACCAGGCAAGCAATTATGGGCAACGCGATGAAATGCCTAACGTGATGGGAAATGGAAATCTTGATCATGATGGAAGGAAAAATTATTTTCATATTACTTTGGCGTAGATAATGAGAATAATATCATTAAAATTAGTAGATATTTTATTTATAACTAAAAGTTTTGTTTGCACTGATGGCCAACGAAAAGGGATCTTAGACTGAAGCGAATGGCGCTTGTTCGGCATTTTGGAGTTTGATCAGTTCCGAGATTATCGAATACAAATTGTGGGTGGTTTATCATCGTTTTTATCACGATGATGGTTAGGGTTTCTTGCTTAAGGAAGCTTTCAGCTTGGGGCTGATTTGCCTTCGGCTTTTTTCACGGTGAGTCGCAACGATCAAAACCCCATTTCTTAATTCCCTTTCAGATCCGTTAACCAAACAAAAATGTATAGCATAGAAGTCCACAATGCACCCCTGGGGAAAATTGGCCCACACCGTTTTTCATTGCTTTCATATATCTAATTCTGGAATTTTCAGTAATGAAATGCTAGTCCATGAAAAACCTGATCGAAATGATTGTTTTTTTAAATTAAAATCGTAAACAACATACTTTATAAGTAACCATCAGATCGGGCGAACTTCGTCCAGCCCAAAATTGTATTTTTGTTTCAAACAATTTCGGGCATTTTTTAATACGATTCCACCCTAAATTATTTGTTTTTGATCGAACATTCGTGATTGATGAGAAAAGCATGGAAATTCGAGATTAATTCCACACACCTGAAAAGATTGGCCTTGTGATTTATTGATTTGTTTTACTCTTTATTTGTTTCAAATTCAAATTAAATTACATTTCATTTTAACCTAGGTGCTCCAGCTGCTGCAGTTACTTACCAGCCTTCATTGTCATAATATATCTAAGTGTTTTAAAATTGTTCCTGTCTTGGAAATTCAGTATTTTAAATAAGTTTTCTATAACAATTGACATCTTAAAACTTAAAATAAAACCAAATCTTATCTAAGTATAAAGGAAGGATGAAATGATTAATAATTTTGTTTGACATTTGTTCTAAAGTCTCAACATTCGAAATTCTATGTACCTCGGTAGTACTGTACCAGGGAGGTAACTTCAAAATCAGAACTTTACTTTGAATCCTTTGAAGTTATTTTTTCCTGGTAGTGCAACAACTAGACTATATTGATACAGCGTAAAGCATGGCCTGTCTAAAAACTTGATTAAATATTAGAAGGTTTATTCGTCAGGCAAAGTTTGGATTTCCTGTTTATAAGAGGATACAATCATTTTATATATTTGTTACATTTGGCTTGAATGCCCTCAATGCGATTTTTAAAAGTTAATTTTTGGTCAAGTAATTAATTAATTTATCTTTATTAGGGAGGCTTTCAGCCTTGGGCTGGTTCGCCTCCACTTTGGTCAAGTACTAATCCAAGATATTTCACTTGGTTGGACCAGGAAATAGGAACTCCATTCATAGTGATTATGTGACTACTACTAGGTTTCAAAAAGGAAGCTCTAGGCTTATGTGAAAATATTATAAGTTGAGTTTTGGAAGCGTTGGGTGAAATTTTCCATTTTTGTAAATAAGAAGAGAAAATATCTAAACTTTTATGCAGTCTGCAGCAAATAACACGAATACTTCTTCCTTTAGCGGAAATGCCTGTGTCATCAGCGAACAAAGATTTGTGGCAACCCTGAGGCAAATCAGGGAGGTCCGAAGTGAAAATGTTATACAATATAGGCCCAAGAATGCTACCCTGAGAAACTCCTGCTCTAACAGGTACTCGATCAAATTTGTAATTTTCATTATTTACCTGCAGATTTCTGTTAGTTAAATAATTTTAAACTTATTTCATAATATAGAGAGGAAAATTAAACTTTTTCAATTTAGCAATCAAACCTTCATGCCAAACACTGTTGAATGCATTTTCAATGTCTAGAAGAGCAACTCCAGTTGAGTTGCCTTCAGATTTGTTTGAACAAATGAAATTGGTAGCTCTTAAGAGTTGATGAGTAGTTGAATGCCTATGGCGAAATCCAAACTGCTCATCTGCAAAAAATGAGTTCGTATTGATGTGAAGCATCATTCTATTTAAAATTATCTTTTCAAAAAGTTTACTTATTGAAGAAAGCAAACTTATTGGACGGTAGCTAGAAGCTTCAGCTGGATTCTTATCCAGCTTCAAAATTGGAACAGCTTTTGCATTTTTCCATTTATCAGGAAAGTATGCCAAATGGAAACATCTGTTAAATAATTTTACCAAGAAAGACAAGGTACTCTCTGGGAGTTTTTTGATGAGGATAAAGAAAATTCCATTATCACCTCGAGGTTTCATATCATTAAACTTTTCAGTTATAGATCTTACTTCGTCCAAATCAGTCCCCCAGGAATCATCGAAAATATTTTTCCGAGATATTCAGATAATCCCGAGCAACCTGATTCTCAATAGGACTAGTAAGACCCAAACTGAAATTATGGGAACTCTCGAATTCCTTAGCAAGTTTCTGATCTTTTTCCAAATTTGTGATCAAATTTTTACCACCTTCTTTAAGCGCTGGAATAGGCTTCTGAGGTTTTTTTTTCAAAATTGTTGTGAGTTTCCAAAAGGGTTTGGAACTCGGGTCTAATTTAGAAACATTATTTTCAAAAGTTTTGTTCCTCAGGGCAGAGAATCGCTTTTAATTTGTTTTTGAAAATCACACCAGATAACTTTCATGGCAGGATCGCGTGTTCTTTGATATTGTCTCCTACGGACATTTTTAAGACGGATCAAGAGCTGAAGATCGTCGTCGATTATAATTGAATCGAATTTAACCTCGAATATTGTACTGAGGCAGGTCTTTTTTCAACTATAAAAGTAGTCAGAGATTCAAGAGCATAATTAATTTCATAATTGGTTCGCAAAGGAATGTTTGGATCAAAGCTTCATTCCATAAATGTTCGATATTACTCCCAATCATAATTTGATTGGTAATTTAAAGTAGAACTGTTGGGATTAGAAATTCTTGGAACATTTCAAAGTTGACAGTTAAGACCAAATCAATAGTGGCGGGATTTCTTGCAGAATAAAAGCATGTTGGACTGTTTGGATATTGAATAGTGTAATAACCTGCAGCACAATAATCAAACACAAAATTAAGTAATGAAAAATTTAGACCTATGACGGGTAAGTTTCTGAAGGTCACCCTTGAAAAAATTCTTATGCTGGTCTACGCATTGGAATGGCAAACAGGCAGCTATAAACGTAAGTTGCCCAAATTTTGTTTCAACAAAAACTCCAAAAGTTTCGAAAACTATGATTGCAAATGAAGAAAGAATTTGATTTGACTATGAACAATGATGGCAACGCCACCACAGGCTCCACCAAGACGATCATTTCGATAAATGGAATAATTTGGGTCCCTTTTAACCTTATGGTCTGGTTTAAGGAACATTTCAGTTATAACGGCAATATGCACTATATGATCGCTCAAAAAGTTAAATAGATCGTCTTCATTATCTTTAAGAGATCGAGCATTCCAATTCAAAATATTTAATGACTTAAAATCCATTACTGAATTTCAAAGTCATGACGATATTTTTCGCAAATTTTACTCCAGCTTGAATAGCATCAAACAGAGAGTTAGTTTTTAGCATATCAAAAATCATGTCAATTAATGATTTCTGTAAAAATTCCATTTTAGGAGCTGTAATGCTTCTTAAGCCAAAATAATCAAAATGTCTGTTAAAATTGTGTAGGCCAGTATTTTGATTTCTACCCGTTGCAGTAGCTCCATTAACTCTCTGAACAGTGTTAGCAGCGAGGGGAGTAGGTACAGATGAAGAATTTGAACCAGGGGTGATATTGGTACCGGGTACAAATGTTGAATTAGTTCCTCGCTGACCGTTGTTAACAGCAGAGGAAATTGTACCTGGTCGGAAACGTGGAGCGTTTCCTATCTGTCGCACAGTGGCGTCCCACTGAATCAAAAAAAGTGGGACATGGCTATTTGCGATGAAACTATTGAGTGTAGCTTTTTGATGTCTTGAAGAATGTTTCTTTATTTTTTAAGTATTTTATTTAAGTAGTGAACTGTTTTGGTTAAGGAGGGTATACACTCAGATAAAAAAAATAACTTTTTTTATGTCTTGTCAAAATTGATAAACACCTATGGAAACATTGTAGATGAAGTCTTTTTAAGAAACTTTGTCCAAGGTTTAAACTTTCTATCTCTTAAGTGGAAGAAGTTATAGGGTGAAAATGGAGTACAAAAGATAGTACCCCCTTAAGGTTCCACAGGAGCAGGAAAACCGATTTTCGGGAGTCTTTCGGTTCTCGGCTTCCGTTCTCTAAAACGTTTAAAGTTAGCACTTTTGGTTCTTTCTGACCTCTTAGTCAGATCCTAAACCAACATTATGGAATTTATTTTCAAAGGATTTATTGTGTATTTTGTGAGAACTATGAATAAGAAAAATTCCACTCGACTTTGTACTAGATTTTCGGGTATCTTTCGATTATCATTTTCCGATCTCTACAACGGTAAAAGTTAGCACCTTGATACTTGATCATCGCCAAACCAGATTCCAAATGAGCTCTTTGCCATGTATTTCCGGAGAATCTTATGTCTCCTCAGTGAGATAAATGAAGAAGAAATCCGATCATCGGAGCAAAAATAATTACACCCAAAATCATCGTTTTCATCGCCTAGCTGGCAGCCTTGACTCAATTCATTTTCTTTTCACAAGCTAGTACAGAATATGGTCTGGTGTTGTAACCATGGCTACTATGAAGTGAATACTGCGTGAACACTC